TCAGGGTCAGTAATTTAAAAAAATATACACCAGTTTACTTATTTATAAATTCAAATGTATGTTTTTTTCTTTTTCTGAAGACTTACACTGTACCTGTAGTGACGAGGTATTCAATTAAACCTGTCATTAATGAAAGAGCTACAATGCTTGGAATCCAGTCTGCATATTTCACTTGTTGGTATGTCAGGCAACCTCAGAAACGCTTTCAGTTTCAGTTTGTCAAAGAACAACTATTTTATTTAAACATATTTGTGGTTTATGCCCAGTAAATAAGATGCTCCCAGGAAGCATTAAATTTTAATTTTTTTAAAAACTATTTTGTTTTAAAGTATGCATACAATTTGAGTATATTTGTAAGCCAGTCTATTGGCATTACACTAGAACATCATACTGCCATTATGTTATTCTTCAGCTGTAATACAGTTGTATTTCAACAATACAGGCTTACATGTACATGTACATTCAGGCCTACATACTTGTCTACATATGTAATACATGTACATGTACATGTATTTATGCAAATCAAAATTGCTTTTGAAGTTCAGTATTGTGCGTATCCTGAGAAAACTTTTATTTAGTCGTACAGTACATGTAGTATGTTCATAACACTGTATAGTGGGTGTACATGTAGTATGTACGTGTAGGCCTATATCACAAGTCCATACAACTGTGTCACTGTCAGCCAAGTCTATTGTACATACCTGTACATGTTTGTACATTTGTCAGGCCAACAATATTGACAATAATGATTCAAAGGCATGTATTCTTCAGTGAGTCAAAACAAGCTTTGTGCATGAGTGTACTGCACCAGAAAGCTACATACATTTAGATCCTTCTCTTTTTCCTTGTTTGACCTCCAATCCATTTTGCAAAGTTTAGCCTACATGTACAGGGTAGTACAAATGTACACACTCAAGCACACACCCGTTTTATTTTCAAAATTTGTCTTGCATCCTACACTACAGTGTACATTGTATGTACATGAGGCGTGTCTGCACTATCTCGAGATTGCCAAATATCCAGCTATTTGAATTATCCCGATCGCAAACTATCCAGTTTATTTGCGTCTTCATTAGACCGAAGTAGCAAATTAGCTGGATAGTTGGTCGGGATAATATCCCAAGATATCTCGGTCTAGTTTGCGGTTTTCCGTGTTTACTCGAGGTCAGTGGTTGCGAGGTCAGCGCTGAGCGGTATAGATCGCATGTGCGAACCGGAAATCGTTGTGCATGATGGGATCGGGATAATTGACTCCGTACTTCGGTCTAATGAAGACGGTCGCAAACTATCCCGCTAGTTCGGAAATAGAAGGATATTTTGCAAACTAGACCGAGATATCTTGGGATATTATCCCGACCAACTATCCAGCTAATTTGCCACTTCGGTCTAATGAAGACGCAAATAGCTGGATAGTTTCGATCGGGATAGTTCAAAATAGCTGGATATTTGGCAATCTCGAGATAGTGCAGACACGCCTATTGTGGAGTATTGTAATAGTGCAGGCTTATTGCCCATGACCTCTGTTGACCCCATCAACTATCCCATTTTCAGACCAGACTCACATACTTTACATTCCACATTTAGCCTTGTGTGGGTGATTAACGCTTTTGCACATGTACAAAATCCAGCAGACTTATTTTAGGGACAACATACATGTACCCTGTATGGGTTTTTACAGAGTTGTTTTCCTTTTCTGGTAATTTAAGCATATATCATTTTCATTTTATAATCTTTTCAGTATATATACAAATCTGCTAAAGAATACAAGTTTTGACCATGATGAAACTAAAGAAAGTCTATAAAATAAAGTACTTATAAGGATACTGACGCAACCGAAACAGAAACAGAAATATACACTGTATAAATTATGCATGTACATGTACATGTACCTACACTGTACCCCCCCTCCCCCCCTCCCCCCTCCCCCCCCCCCCCCCTCCATTATAACAGAAACTGTACAATTGTGTCATATGAAGAAGTATAGTACATGTACACTGTACATAAACATAAGGACTATCCATGGGTGATAAGTCATGCCTCATGTAATTTATCAATGAAACAAGAAAAAGTAGCAACACAGCATTGCTATTTAAATGAACATATTGGCAATTTCTTGATGATTTTTGTTAGCGTAATTTACATCTACATTACCTTCAGACTTTCTTTTTTGTACACATTTTTAATTTTGTTTTTTCAAACTATGAAGAGTAGAAAATACAAATAATTGTTGCCAAATTGAGGAGGAAAACTGATTCACTGGTAGGCCTTTAAAAAACTCTGGACTACTTCCAGGCTTTGCCTAAATTTCATTCATGAAAGTGAATTGTTCAAAAATTTGGTGATTAAGAAGGGGTTTTTAAACCAAGGGTTTCAGTATGAGAATGATAAACTCAACCGTTAATGTTTTCAAATAAAATTGTCCAAGGCTTCGAAGGGATTGTTTTTGAAGCAATGAAGGACTAACTGTCTGGCATGAAACCTTGCAAGTCATATCCTGCATCCTGTCTAGCTAGATGGCAGGGAGGGGGCAAAAGTCATTGACCTACTTTGAACTGGGGGAAGGGGGGGGGGGGGTGTTGCTGGGAGGGTAGTACCCTGGTAAAGTGATGTTCTGCAGAACTCGGTGAAGTATCTCGAGAGAGATTCCCTATCATTTGCTCTGTACTATAAAAAAAAAAAATCTGAACTTTCTATTAATATTTTATTCCCCAAAGACCATTTTTCAATCATACATGCATCGTACAGTGTAGATATAATTATTGCAAATATTTGTTTATGTAATGTCTGTATGAATTATTAAACAAATCTATTCCCTCATAATAACTAAGAAAATGAAACTGTAAGGAATTTCTGTACATAAATGCAGGGCACATTGGAGAGGGTCTCGACTGTGTTTGATATATCGCACTTTGAAAAATTCATAACTTCCCTATTTTGAATGGGGTTTTGCTCAAACTTTCACTGACCTATTCCTCTCATTTTTCTGCTTCTATTAAAACCAACCAACAAATAATAGTAACATTGTCGTTTTTAAAACTTAAGATGACAGACAAATTTTCCCAACAGTCAAAACAGAAATCTGGCCATTACGGGTACATGATGTGTTGTTCTAGATTTCGAATGGTGAGTCAACACACCTTGTATTGCGTCTTATACAGGAAGATTTACAGGATGTGAAATTGAAAAGAAATAAAGATTGAAGAAAATGTTAAAGAATGAGTCTCTGGGGAGATTCCATGTCATTAAACATTCGATGAGGCTGAGATAAAATTTCAGTTCATTCTTCCAATACACATTGATTTATTATACTTAAAGTGTAGTCTTATACTGGTTTGTGACTAGATATTTTTGTCCATGTGACTGCAATATGAGCACGGTTTGTCGTACCACACACATTTGAAGTTCTGAGATTCTGACCCTTTAGTATAGGTCATGGTGTTCATATCATACACAAACAAAATCAGTACTTGATACGTAATAATTAACTAATTGTATTTATCAGCCATTCACATGTACAATCAACAGGTGAACTTTGACACAAGTACATGCAGCCTGGTTAAATAAAGCATTTCCAAGCTTCGCACTTTAGACAATCTACAGAATTTGTATGCACATACATTGTAGTAAGTTTCGACTAGTGGTGGAAAGGGATTGTTCCTTACCCATGTACGGTGTATGGTGTATGGTGTTTGCAGGGTACTTTAGTGCAGGATCGAAGTGATTAAGTCATGTCTCAGTCAAGTTATGAGGATGATATTGATGCGGTAGATACGACCATCACACTGAAACGTAAGTTTAGAGAGAAGTTTGTTGATGTTAAGAGGCCTTATTTACATATACACCCTGTATAAACATGAACCATTTTAATATATGCAGTATTTAAAAAAAAAGATAAAGCTTGTATCAAAATAAGATCTTTTTAATGTATTTATAATAAAAATAATAATATGGATATTTATATAGTGCTGGTATCCGTCAGGCTTTACACATATTACCCTGGTCATAGCCGAGGTGCCAAAGTAACTAGCGCTCAAGCATATCAGGTACCCATTTACACCTGGGTGGAGAGTGGCAAATGTAGATTATCGTCTTGCCAAAGGACAATAGTGTCGCGGCGGGACTTGAACCCGTACCTCGTGATCTGCAGTCGGGTGACTTATCCACTAGACCATAACGCCTCTACCTTTTTATGCTCAGAAATTGATAGTAACTAAAAAAAAAGTAGCAACTTGTAACAATGGAAAAAGGCCCCTCGTCACCACAAAGTCTAAGTGTTCTAAATTATCAGTTAGTTGTAAGATACATAGGTGTGAAATGCATATTTGCATAGCTGGATTTGGGCTGGGGTCTATACATGTACGTGTGTATCAAAAAATGATTGTCAAGTCATCTTTGGGGTTGGAATTGATTGTGGGCCTCATTGATTGTGTTAGATGTCTTTTATTTTGATTTTGTTAGGCATTCTTCTTTCACCGTGCCTCAAAATTACTGGGGTCTGTTGAATATGGACCCCAAATTTTGAAATTTGAATAGGGGTCCCCTTCCCTTCATGCAGACAGACCATAAATATATCTACACTGTACTCTGTATCTGCCGGTTCTGCCCCTTCTGATAAAGGGTCAGTGTGGAGCTGTTTTAAGACTTTTCATGGTCTTAGGATTCACAATGTATTTATTCATTGATATTTGACTTTTAATCTTTTTTTTCTTTCTATTGATTAAACTGTGTTGAGAATCCAAGTCAAGAGTTTTTTGCATGGGCTGTATTTTGTGAAAGCACTCCATTTCTAGGGCAGATTGTTTACATCTCTTGACCCATTTTATAGTTGTACATGTACTTTTTTCCCCAATCTTATGGACATTTTTAATCACACTGATTTTTTCTTCTTCTTTTATCCTCCCCCCTCCTCATCTCTCTCTCTCTCTCTCCTTCCCTCTCTCTCTCTCTCTCTCCTTCCCTCTCTCTCTCCCTCTCTCTCCTGCTTTCTCCCAACCCTTCAGAAGCCTCCAGGGCTTTGGAGCTCCTGGAGGAGTACCACTCCAAGCTGACTGCTACGGGGGACCGTCCTCTCCGCAACGCCATCGAACGTGTCATCCGCATCTTCAAAAGCCGCCTCTTTCAAGCTCTACTTGGTGAGTTCCAACTTCCCATGCACCCCTCCATAGCTCAGAGCAGTCATTGTACAGTCAAGCAGTGATTGACATTTACATATTTTTGATCTCCTGTTTGAGTGATAAGTGTTTGTGAATGTACGATTTAAAGGAAAAATTGGAATGTTAGGATTTACAATGTAACTTGTAAGATTGCATTTTCATCCATGAAGTTCTTTTTTGGTCAATATTGTGCCACTGTTAGAGCATGTACTCTATACATGTAGTACACTTTGCTGGACCCCACCCATCTCCCTAATTAGACCAAGTGGTGCAGAAAACTTTGAAAATCAAAATGATGCCTGTTTTTAGAGCCAGACGCAGTGGTGTAGCTTTAGGGCAATGGGGGCACCGGGTTGGGGGGGGGGGTTCGGGCGGTTAAGAAATGGGGTAAAAAATAACAGAAAGGAAAATTGAGCAATAAAAAGTAGAATGGGAAAAGGAAAAGAATTGAAGATGCCTGGACCATGCACCTCCCACAATCTTTGGCTCATAATTTCTGTAAAACAGCTCCCCCCCCCCCCCCCCTCAAGATTAAAAAAACGTTCCAATTCCCTGTCAATGCATTGACTCACACTACGCCTTTAATAATAATAATAGTTCGTCCTAATATAGCGCATTTCAGGACCCCAGGCCCTCTCAATGCGCTTTACAGATATACATGTATATTATTACCCCTGTCATCGGATTCATGCTCTTAATATGCTCATTAGTTATCATTGAGGATTGCTTTACTTAATAACGATACAATATTGCCCTATCCATGGTAATTTTATTTGGAAGAGAGAAAAATTGTTATCGTAAAACATCAGAATCCTGAAAGACTGACTACCGCAATCTCCCAGACGTGTCTCTTTTACGAACCATTCACATTTCTTTAGAGTCACCCGTCTCATCGCCTTCATCCGTAACCAAATTTGACTGGCTATCAAGTCTAATTTCACCTTTCATTCATCAAGTATTTGCAATGCAATTCTAAAGCCCAATTAAAAATGTATTTGCAGCTAGCAGAGCCGGAGGTGAAGGGCCTTTCAGACGAATTCCTCAATTTGATTTCAGTCAGTGAAATGTAGTTTTTCCCGCACATGGGAGTGCTCTTTTTGAGATTCAGTACGGGAGTTTTTATTTTTCTTACAATCCTTGATATTTATTTATTGTTTGTGTGTTTTAAATACCGGAGCTCTTTTTCTTTCTTTTTTTAAAGCTCCTTTGTAAAGCTCCTTTGTAAAGCTTACCAGGCCTATATTGTTTACTGCTCTCTTGTATTTATTTTGCTGATTTCACTCATGTTTAGAGGGGACAGGAACAGAAATAATATATAATTAAGGGTTTCAGATATTAACGAGTGAATTTGGGGGGTTTGTTTGTGTTTTGTCCCCATCCCTTCCCCTGTTCTACCGTTGTGCTGTAGTGTAATATATTGTTACTGCTCCTTCTTTTTTGAAATTGTTATTTAGGCATTTTTCTTTGAAATATTGAGCTGCAGGTAGATTGAAAGTGCTTGCATTTCCAGCTTGTTTCATGAAAGGGTGAAACGTTCAATTTCACATTTCAGTGTATCTTGCTTCTAAGATCATTGTATGATGTTCTTGTACATATACATTCATGTTCTTGGGTACATATTTCTATTTTTCAATTTTGTGAACATGTTTACATTATTTCATAACTATTTGGTGAAAATTCCTATTTCATATATACTGTAGGTGCTGCCTACATGTACATTGCAATTTTTTTTTTTTTTTGGGGGGGGGGGGTGGAGGGGGCTGCTTTTCAGCCTTTTAATACTTGTCCATTGCGTTGAATGATTTAAAATCACTCCTTTTTTTTAACTTTTCAATTTTTTTAATATTTTTATTTGACTTGCACATACATGTACCTGTTTTTTCCCCTCCTGAATCCATACATGTGGAGAAGATGCCCCAATCCAAAACACACATGTTTTGGCGTGATTGAGACTGGTATTTCATCCTCGATCTCACTTGTGCCACAGGTCTGTTTGCCTTTGAAAGTGATGACATGTTTCCTAACAAAAGGCCGAGAGGTGTTACCATTCTTCTGTTCGGGGTTTGTTGCAGTCGGAGAATGGTATAAGCTGCGTGTGTCAACACCCCAACAACGGGAAGTGACAATAGAATAAAGAACTTATCCCCTCCAAAGGAATTTTCCAGGATTCAGTTTGGCGCTTGTTCTTACAGCTTGTTTTGGTCCTAGGGCCGCTTGTGCAGTGTAAGAAATAAAGTCCTTCTATTGCGGGCTTCTTTCACATGTAAGGTACATGCTGCTCTGAACTTTGCTGTTCATTTGGTGTCTGGTCAGTTGTTAAACATTAAAACCAATGACAGAAAAAAATTTACAAGTAGAAACAGGGGCTAATTTTAAATTACAAATTTTTATTTTATTTTTATTTATAAGTTATTTTACCACAATTTCATTTTATAATCTCCTACAACCAGGGCTAGCTAGACTATCTATGGAAAAAACAAATGTTTATTTGTTGTTATTCATGAAAAAAAGAGCATGCTTTTGAATTTACATGGACAAAATACAAACTCCCAAAGTAAACATTTTGTTGAAACAAATAGAAAAACAGATTTGATTTGCTAATTTACATGGACAAAATACAAACTCCCAAAGTAAACATTTTGTTGAAATAGAAAAACAGATTTGATTTGCTAAACAGACCCCCCCCCCCCCCACCCCCTCCCCCTACCCCCCCCCCCCCACACACACACATACTTTCACAACATCAATAACCTTTATCCCACCTACATGTACTGTACGTGTAGGTCTCTGATTTTTGTGATTGGCTCCAATTTAGTCTTTAAAGTTAGTCCCCAGACTGTATTCACACAATAAAGTTAATTGACTTAAGTTAATAAACATGTAATCGACTTTGTGCTAGGAGCCGTTTCACACCTCTTATTTTATACTTTTGTACTTTTGATCTTTAGCTCTTCAATTCACCTGTATTGTACCTCATAGCTCTTGAAATGACTGTGGTTTTGGGTTTTGTATAGTGCTGAAGGTCTTTTCTTATTGAGGAGAGTTTATAAATAGGTTTTATTGATGAGTTTTTAGGTAGGATTAACTGAGATTGAGCCTACTTTAGATATTGATTTTTCAGAACTCATCTTTGTTCCCTTACAAGCTGACATGTTTACATTCAAGTTTATGCATAGTCTCTATAACTCTGTAAAGGAACAACACATGTAAAGGGGATTATAGGATGAGTTACAGTTATTTTCTTTGCCCTTTATTGTTTGAAACTAGATTTTAAAGCTGTGGTTTACTGCTAAATCAATACTCCATACAAAGGAGATTCATGAGGAGTTCCTTTTGACTAAATGCTTTTTAAGTGCAGATCCTGCTAGCATTTGGTTTTGTGTGTTTGTTTCCTTGCTTGGTAATTTGTTTGTTTTTAATACTTCTCTGGTATGTTGTCAAGATGCATTTAAATGTACAATGAATAATAGTTTTAGAGAGAGATACATGTAATGTACATGTAATTCTTTGCTTTTCATATCAAAGAAATCACAAAATATGTTGAATGTATTTTACCAGTCAAATAGAGGCTACTCATCACATTGAAATGCATCGATGATGTGGTTAATGAAAGTAAATATTGACATGATACAGTCGAGTTCTATTTCAGCGGATACAATCGTAGATAGAAATATCAAGTTCTGAATCTGATCTAATCTTTGAAGGAGATCCATCTCTCTAGACTTTGTACTTTTTTTCCCTATTTACATAAAGTGCTCTCAGAAGAGTACACAATTGGAAAATAATATTCAGCTCTTTAAATGTAATGTACACAATGAAGTATTGCATACGAACGCCATGCTACATGTAAGTACTAGTAAAAAAAAAAAAGAAGATGTGTGCATTTACTTTAAATGTTCATAAACTTTTCAAGTGGTTCAGAATCGCAAAAGTTTCATGCGCCTTAAAAAGATTGAATTACAACTACTGTAACACTACACTGAATTCTTGGAATTCAAGAAATTTCTTGCTGTGAAAATGATGATTGCAAAAGTTTCATATTGCAAATGTTTCTGTTTTTGTACAGACAGGACATGTATACATGTATGTACCTGTTGCAGTCTTTCAGAGCATTAAAATGCACAATGTTTTGTAAGAATGTGTAAATGAATTAGAAACTTCAGATGTATGCCGATTATATTTTATCACCATTTAGCCACCTGTCAAAACATTACGGTATCAATGATGATGTTCTGTGGTGATGTTTATGCTTTAGGCCTACGTATTCATATTTTATGTACAGCTCTTAGTCTAAATTTTGAATGTAGAATACATTATTCCTTGTCACGCTGTGTATGGAATGCCTTAGTGATGTTAAAAGGATTATCAAATAATCATTTTCATCTCGTGAGGATAGCTATGTAAATTTAATGAAGTAATATAATGCCTCACCGACTACAGAGTGCAGTTGATGTGTAATAGCAAGTTGATATTACCCCAGTACTTAAACATTTAACATATTATAGGCGTTGAGCTGTGTAATGCATTATAAATGAAGCTCTGTGACATATTAAAAAAAATATGCCCTGTAATTTTCATCGTGGGTGGGGGAGGGGGGCAAAAACAACTACATGTACTTTGCTAGTTCATGTAATAAGCATGCACAGCTTTTGCTTTTTTTACCTTGAACTTTAGTTTAGCTGTGTCCGCATAATATTTGCAGCAATTTTAATTGATACAGTAGATTGATGACTTACTTAAACCTGATTGTAAAGAAAGCGAGTAAAGACTAGGTATTCAGCAGGGGGAGGAGGGGGGGGGGGGGGCTACATGAATGGTTGAGATCCTATCCAAGGGAATCGATAATTGCCCCACCAAAGGGCTCTACCATGTTGATTTGGTTTGAACCTAGAACCTTCCAGTAACAAATGTATGTGAGCACTGCTCTATCACTGAGCCATCATGCTTATGTATGCAACAGAAAGCCCTAGATGTTGAAT